ACAGGCAGCAAGAAATCTTGCTGAGGAACATTTGACAAATTTGTGAGTTTGATGTCAAGGGTCATTGGTCCCTTTTTCTCCCTCTTCTTTTTCAAAGCTTCTTTGAGGTCACTGAAGGGAAGGAAGGTCCAAGGTGAAAGATGAAATAGAGTAGAAATGAGTGGAGAAATGACCTAGGTAGGTAAAGCAGGGAAGAAGCAGGAAGACAGATTGACAAGAAGGGGGGAAACAATACAGATACAGGTGTTTTGCTAGAGGTTAAGGGGAGGAAAAGGCCAAGATTAAGGGCCTCTGACTGCTGGTGGAGAGAGCAGAAATGGGCAAGTGTGGGAGAGATGGCAGGAATCAGGGAGATGTGTGGGAAATGGGGTGTGCTGGAGCTAAGTGTACTTCCAAGCAGCTGAAGGTGTTTATTCTGACGGTCGATTACTAGGAATTCTGAAGGCTGCCAGGGAAGGGGCAATGAGTAGTATCAAGTTATCAGTGACTTGCCGATTACAGCTAAAAAAAAAACAACAATAAATGTTCTTTCTATTGTGTGTCATCAACGGCCCAATTTTCTCACCCCCTTTCATTGTTTCTAACACCCCTGCTTTAAAAATCTTCAAAGGCAGCCTCTGTCTACCAAATAAGTACATACCTCTAAACTCCAAAGTGGGACATCAGACTCCAAGATCTGCTTTTACTTAGTTGTGTCAGACTTGGCCAGATCCACTCCCTGGGTAGCAGCTTCCCAGGGATGCCTATTTGTCAAAGCCACAGACACACCCCTTCTTTAGGAATCTGTTCTCAACCTCTTAGCACAAATTAATCCCTCTCTCCAGTATGCTCAATTAGCACCTTTATCACATTATATCATAAATTTGTGAGTCTCCTGGCTCACAGGAGGCTCAAACCACCTTTTCACATTGTCTTTTATATTTCTGACACAGTAAGTAACTAGTTAATGTTTGTAAATTCTTTGGTGAATCAGTAAATGGATGACACCTTTATACCACAGGTGAAGAAACATTTTTGGAGAAAATGATGTTTCAAAATTTCGGCCCCTGAATTTCAGAAAACCCTGGCAGCCGTTAAAGCCACAGTACTTCATCAATGTAGCTTAAAGCCAGTACTTAATATAAAGTTTTTTGGTGGGCGTGCCTCTCCTCCCTTCCCAAACAACCTCATAAAACCTGGCTAAAGGCCATTGTGGACTGCTTGCATAGAGACTTTTCCGTTTTTACGAAATCCATTACCAGATTTCTCCCTGTAATCGGCAGTCTGTAACCAATCAGGAATTTCTATTTTCATACAAACAGAAAAGTTTTTCCTGTCAAAAGAAGAAATAATGTGAAACTTGCAATCCCTTCTGCCTGGGCTCCAAGTAACCAAAACCCACCATTACACTTGGGTGGGGGGAGGTTCCTGCAAATCTCATTCAGGTGATTAAAATGTTCAACACTTAGCAAATTATTGCAATCCATAAAATGAGTGTGTGTTTCCGCTAGGTCTGAATGTCCTTTTCATCCCTGTATTTCAAAGGCATGGCAAGTTTAAGTTTTAAGATGTGTGTGTGTGTATGAATGAAACCTTCCATTAAAGAGAAAACCTTAGATTTACAAACTAGAAGAATACTTTGCTCCTGTGCCATTTCCCCCAAACCTCTCAGCTGCCTGCAAATCAAAATACAACAGGAAAGCAGTTCCTAGCTATGTCCTCTGAATGGTATTTCATTGGGAAGGTCAGTCAGACCCAAGGCCAAGGTGCCTGCAGGCGTCCTGCCTCAGTCCCCTCCCCCTCTTGCCCTGAACTACTTTCTCCAACTGCGCCCTGCAGTTCTTCTCCCAAGGATTAAAAACAAAAAACAAACAAACAAACAAAAAAAACTTCGCAATCGGGGCAACAGATTAGCTTCCAATTCGGGAAAGCGGAAGTCATTCCTTGAAACAGAAAGAGCAAACTTGGAAGGGAAACCGCAGTGGGTTTCCCATTAGTGCATCTTGTCTATTTGGTGCAAGTGACTCAATAGTTAGTCACTACTATTGTATTGTCCTTACACTACAGAGCACGGTGGCGTCTCCCCCGCGGCAGCGGCTCCTACAATCTTTCTGTCCCAATTTGCAGTCCCTTCTTTCAGTTATGGGGACTCCCCACGCCGCGCCATTGCCTTCGGCTGCCCCCATCCCCCACCGCACCGTTTCTATGGGAAGACGACCCTCTTGGGCTTCTAGGGATCTTTGTTGCTGGCTGAGGCAGCCTCGGGGTTTGGAAAATGCGGGTCTCCACATCCCCCTTCCTTATCAGCAGGGCAGAAGAGAAAAGAGCGGAAATTTAACATTGCAACTATTATTTCATTGGATGAACTTGCCCTCTAAAATGCCGCTGCATAAGTCAATTCACAGTGAATCCTGAAGGTGACGATAAAAAGGAAAGAGGACGGGGGCAGGGCAAAGGAGGAAAATGGCTTGGGAAGCCCCGAAACCTGCGTCTGATCGCCGGGTTCGATACCAGCCGCTGCGCCACCCGGCCCAGCGTGGCCTCCCCGGCCTCGCGCGCGCCTCCCGGGAACTGAGGAGCGCGGAAGGCGGGGCCCCGGGTACTAGCGCGGGGAGGTGGCCGAAAAGCAGCCACTGCGGCTGCGAGGAGGGAGCGCGCGGGGGTGGGCTGCCCGGGCTCCCTGGTCGGGGCGAGCTACAGACCACACTCCAGGCCGTCGAGCCTGGCAAGGACTGACCGCATCCCCAGAAGGAGGGGCTGCCGCTGCAAAGGCTACGGGAGAACGCGGTTCTTGGGCTTCCCTGGCAGAGGCGCTCTCTCGCCCCTGGGCCAGTGCACCGCAGTGGCGGCCGGACTCTGACCTCGTAAACTGCGAGGGGCAGATCTTAATTCAGTAAGAGGGAGAAAGGTATCTTTACATCTCAGCACGTCCATCTCGGTTCCTTCTTCAGCACCGCCCGCGCTTCCTCCGAGGAACCAGACAAAGGCAAGAAAGGGGAACGAGTGTAGGAATACCATCACTTCGACTTGCTTTCAAACCCGCCCCCCCCCACTCCGCAAAACACGAACCAAAGGTCAGTCCTGAGGCTGGTATTCCAGCCGTGATTGTGCGAGTTTATTTCAAACAAGAGTGAGGGTGGAATTCCATTTATTCTGTACCGAGTTCATAAGGTTCCCGCAAGTACCTTTTTCAATCCCACGTGTTTTAACCTTTTACGAGAGGGGCCTCGTTGCTTTACTCGTAAAGCAGCGCTACCTTCTCCCGCGTCGTGGCGTCGTGCTGTGTTTTGAATTGTTCCGTGCACGCTCCGCAGGTTGTTTCCTTGCTGCAGCGCTAGCACCTTGCTAGCTGATCTTGAATACCGTCACCCCTCCCCATATTTCCTGCCTCTTTCCCTGCCTATCTCGATTTTAAAGACTTTGTTGTCCACACTTTTCCTCCTACAGAAACAGGTCCTATGTTAGGTTTAAATCCCATCTTGGGACGTTTCTACACATGGACTTGCTATGGTTTTGTTCTTTGTGTTTAATTTTCTGTATTCTTTTGTCCTAGCCCCTTTTCCGTCCGATCCTCGCTTTGTGGGTGTGTGCCGCAGTGGCGCAACTTTTGATTCCCAGCCCTGCAACCAACACGTTAACAGAAAGGCACCCGGCCCGGAAATGCGAGGGTCCGCACGCAGACGCGCGCTCACACGCACTCTACACACACACACACACACACACATCCAGGCGCCCCGCACCCCAAACCGCAAAGGCAGCCAAAGCAGCGAAGCGCGGGATTATTTATATTGGAAGCCAAAGGGCTGGTTTCAGCTGGGCTCTAAAATTCTTTCCTGCGGGGAGGAAAGGAAGTGGTTCCCACTCTTGGAAAGGCGCATACATGCAAGCTTAGTCTCCAAACGAGCTCTTCTAAAGTCTCCAAAGGACCAATGCGCAGCTACGCGCTGTTAAAAAGTCACCTTTTCCGAGGACGGCCTTACATAGGGCCGTTTTCTTCGCGGAAAGAGGCCGTTTTATGGCTACGCGCTTAAAGAGATAATTCCTTTGTGGCTAGATGAATTGTTTTTTTGATTCTATATCAGTAAACGCTATTCACTCATGGGATAAGGTCCTAAGGGATGAAAAGTCATGTCTTCAGAGACAGAGGAACCCTGTTAAACGTAACCCCTACGCTCTGAGAAAGTATTTTTTTTCCTTTTTGTCAATGAGAAAAGGATGCCGTTTTTGGTTTTTCTCCGCTACGCGATGGTAAGGAGTTTTTGTGTTTTTTTTAATCAGCATAATTTTACGCACCTACCATCTCCACCCACATCCAGCAGGTGCTGGCTGAGCACAGAAAGCCCGGTAAGTGGGGCGGGAAGGAAGGGCGGGGAAGCGAGCGCCAGACGGAAAGGCCCGGGGAACCCTGCGCGCTCCTTGTCGCGCTGCGCTGCGCGTCTCTCTCCTCAAAGGGTCGGATCCCCAAGGGTTGGAGTCAGCCTGGCAAAGATCCAAACCCGAAGCCCCCAGAGATAAGAACACAGTGGGGCCCAGCCGCACGAGATCCTAGGTGGGCGCTGCGCTCCAGGCATTGCCCCTTAGCTTGGACCTCTCCGCCAAGCTAGCCCCAGAGGGATCTTTTCTCAGCACCAGCGCCAATCATAAGAGTTTCTCTCAGCCTCGCTGAAGCTGGCTGTATTTGTTTAAGTGAAGGACCTTTCTTCACCGCCAATGTCGGGGAAATTCATGCGCGGATACTTTTCTGATAGAAGTGAGAGTTTTGGCAAAGTAACCAAGCCAAACCCAGCGGTGACAGTGCTAAAAAGATATTCTATATGCGCTCATCTCCGAGGTTTGCTCTATCTCTTACCTCCAGGAAAGAGATAGGGGTAGGGGGAAGGGAGGACAGCAGAAGCGTCTTTAAAACCACTCTGGTCACAGTCAAGCCCCCAGGAGCAGGCAGCAGGAAGTCGGGGAGCACTAAGTGCGGGACTCACACCTCACATGCTGCACTGTGCTCTGGCACCCGACCCGATACTTACCCGGAGATCGTAGCCTGTGTAAGTAGAGTGAAGTGGAGCGAGAGAGAAAAAGGCAAAAGAATTCAACACCCGACGGAGACTGTGATTGCTGTAGCGGGTTCTACCGCTACAGCTCGCAGTGCGCGGAGCAGCCGCTGTTGTGGAGGTTGCTTCGGGGGTTGCTCCGGCCGCTGGGGTGGCCTGGGCTGCCAGTGCCGCTGCGGTCGCCGCGGGGGTCGCCACTGTCTCCGCCACTCTATTCAGCTTGCTTTCTGCTTTTCCGCTCGGGCTGCTGTGTGCAGCTCAGACTTACAGGGGATCAGGTTTTCAGACTCTCATACTAGCGCTCCGGCCGCTAGGTGCAGCTCAGACTTACAGGGGCTCAGGCTCACAGAAGCTCAGACTATAGCTCCTCTCGCTCTGACAGAGCTCTGCACCGAGCCTGGGCCGAGCCAGCCCTTTTCGTGGCGAGTGGGAGGGACTAGATGGAGGGGGAGAAGGGGGAAGGAAGGGGGTTGAGCGAGTGGAGCTCGGGGCGCGCGCGAGAGAAGTGAACCAGTGCCTGGGCTGCCTGCTGCGAGGGGATGGAGCATCACCAACTGCTGGGTACCCCCTTGTGGTCCCCCACTCCCTGCACCCTACATCTCCCGCCGCTCTTGGGGCTGGCCCCTCCCAGCTGAAGCCGAGCAGGGGAGAAGGGCGGGGGAGAGATGGAGGTAAGCTTTGGAAGTTACTGTTCGCTGCCCGAGAAGGCGTCAGAATCCGTGCTGGCTGCCCACTTGCGTTTGGGACCCGCTACTGAGGGAAAAAGTATGGCTTTCGGAATGTCTGCTTTGCAGAGCAAAAGCGAGGGCATGCACTGCTCTACTCAGGGCAACGCTAGCTGCTCTCTTAGGCTTCCCCTGAAGTTTAACTAATTCACGTTATGTTACCGAAGTTTTATTTTTCTTATGATGTGTGCTTCTCTCGCGATCCCGCTGGCCGCCCTGACTCCAGCTAGAGAACGAGCATCCAATAGCTCCATTTTCTCATACAAAGGATACTTAAGGCAGACTAGTGCAACCAGGGGCCAAAGCCCGGCCAAGCCGCAGTTGGAGCAGAGACTGTGTGATATCACACTGAACTGTGAGTCAGGGCTGGTATCTCGTTTGCCTTTCACGTTGATCCTCTGGGGACGGCGGGGACATTGATAAGGGGGAAGACCTAGCATTTGGCTACAAGAGAGAGCAACTATCCAGTAAGCGTTTAGGAGGTGGATGGCTTCAGACTGCTTTAGCGGGGTCCAGTCGCTTCGCTACCGGGGGGGCATCAGGCAGCTTCGTGGGCATGGACAGCGCGTTTCCGAGGTAGGAAAGGATGCAAGAGAGGGAGGAACCCAGCCCTGAGCCGCAAGGCTGGTGCCTGCCAGAGCGCTCCAGCTGCCTAGTAGGCGACGACCGGGCGGGCTCGGGAAGGCAGAGCGGGGAAAGGTCTCAAAAAGCTACTAAATCGACCGGGGGCAATGTGGCTGGTTTATGGCTTGGATGGGTCGTAGAAGTAAGAGTAATTCCCCTGCCCCTGTCACGGGGTTAAAAGCGAAAACCACAAGCAAAACCTCCCACTTGGTCCACTCTGATTCTTGCTCCACTCTGATTCTTGCTCCAAGGTGCAAATCCTTAAATTTACCCAGAGGCCAGAGAATGAACCAGGTGCAGGGCTTTACGGGAAAATACATTTCCCGTGCTTAACCAAAAGAAAAAACAAACTTTCTAGTGCTTGCTTTCTTTTCTGAAGGAGACTCTCTTTCCTAAAATAAAAAAGGGGGGAAAGTAGATCATGTTTTTTGGTGCCAAGAGCACATTATTCATTTTTATTTTTCTCTGCTGAATGGAAGGTGGAATATATCTACATAGGGATAAAACACCCAAAATGGAAAATTTTGCCAATTATCACGAGTTGATTTTATTTAATAGAATCTTAATGGGAAGTTTTTAAAAAAATTATTATTGAAGGACACCTCTTTATGACTTCTTTTTTCCAGTATGTTCTTCCCCCACCTTAATAACTACCATCTTTTCAATTCATCATATTTTTAAAGTTTCCAATCTTGGTTCAAATAAATCCTCACATCGCTTTTTCTTCCCCTACTTTCCCTTTTTTCTTTCTTTTTTTTTTCACACCTAAAGCCATTGCTGAAAGCAACAGCAACATTAGCACTGCAGTTCAGTGCGGTCTGCATGAAAGTGGGGGCACGGGGAAGTGTGGACTGATGCACTTGCCTCGTCCTGTATCCACCTCCTGCGCTATCCTCTTCTTAAGAGCGAGGAAATGTCTTGGAGATGAAATCCGAGATAGTTAATTTATTACAGCTCTGACTCTTGGGTTTTGCTGGAGGAGACTCTGTCAGGAACTCAAAGAAATTTTTTTTAAAAACCCACTGATTGATCTAGGATGGCATGGCAAAGCCATGCCATGCACATGCTCCCAGAGCACCAATAATCATGAATAACAAACATCCACATCGGACACCAATTAATTGATTTCTTAAGAAGTCCAGTGAAACCCAAGGCAGAGGGAGAGAACTGTTCAATGGCTGTTATGAAGTAGTTAAAGTTATTATCACGATGGACTCAGGTTAGTATCATTATCCACTTTTTTCAGTTCCCGAAATGGAAGCTCATACAGGACAGGTGCTTTACAGAGCACTCTGGAGAGGAACAGGCTCTGGAATTCTACTCAGAGTAACTTCTAAATTCAGCTACATGGCTGCTTTATAGTCAGTCCAGACCCTTCTATAATATATGGCACAACATTTTCTTTTAAGTGTGTGTAGTCCAGTACAAAATGGTCTCCGCGCAAGAGAGACATTACTTACAGACCAAGGAGACCACCAGGTGAACTAAGTCACCCAGAAAATTATCCAAGAAATTCAGTTTTCTGATAAGACTGACAGAAATCCACATCTGAAAGTAATGAAAAAAATGTTTTCCCCTTTTCTCCATCCCTGTGTTCTGTCTGACGGTGGCACCAATGAGCAATGGAATAACCAAAAGCAAACACCTGTATGTGTTCCAAATCTAAGCAGACTGAGAAATTTACTTTGCTTACTTAGAGAAGGATTTCTTGATTCAATGCTTTTTATGCATCATCTCTATTATATACATTGTCCTGTTAATCCTCACAATCATCCTGTGCGATAGATGTTATTAGCTTCACAAAATGCTTTTAACATATGAGTAAACACAGATTTGCAGTTCACTGACACTTGACACTCCGTAAAAAGTCTAAGGCCACATGGCTGGAAAGGGTAGAGGCGGGAAATGTGTGCCTGTGTCAGCTCCAATGGACTCGAGGACCCAGCGATCCTCAGGACGTGGTCCTCAGCTTGTGTGGCAACACATTTTCAGAATTCACAGTACATCAGATATTTTATCATTAACAAAAGCCCTCAAAAGTTAAAAAGGAACTGTAGGAATTTATTTTTTGGAGGCGCTTCCATGAAGAAACTGTGATATTTATTACATTCTGTTCAGTCGGTATTCCAATTTCGAAGTCGAGCCAAGATTCAACTGTCTACCCTATAAACATGGAAATGTGTCTCATCTCTGCGAGTAAAATTACCAAACCATTATCTAATGATGGAACGGATCAGATGGGAGATTTAATTTAAAATTCTTTGAGTAAAGATGTTTCTCGGGCTAGTAAGACTTGATTAAAACTGAGAAATAATGTGTTTACCTGAACACATGGACACCTATTAAAAGAAGACTCAGGTGCGCATGGGTGGCTCCCATCCAGGTACATTTTCACCTCACTGGCAAAACCACCCTTTGTAAGAGAATAATGAAGCTGATCAAATATTGTGGGATTCAGTTACCCTCACATTGAAACACTCCTCATTGTGTGACTTGCCTGTGTGTATGTTCTCTGTGGAGTGAGAATGAGTACTTCCGGCCATGTCATAGTTACTTTGCTTCAGATTGCTTTTCTTTGTGTTTTCCATGGTAACTCATACCATACACTGCATATAAAGGTTACAATTGATAAATCATCATTGTTATTGATTGAAAAAGGAATAGCTGGGTGTGTGGGCATGAAACTGTAGGACTGCAGAAATTGTGTTCTCCGTGGTTTTTTTTTTTCATATTTCATATGAACCATCAGTAACAATACCAAGTAGTAGGAGGCAGTGATGTGCAGGGGTTCAGAAAAGGGCTCTGGTTTTAGACCAGATTTGGAGCTGTATTTCTGGCATTTCCAGCTTTGTGTCCGTGGGCAAATTAGTCTCCAGATCAGATAGTTGCTAGGCACACAGGCTACTGAGCACTTGAACTGTGGCTGACCGGAACTAAGGTGTGCTGTGAATGTGAAATACATGCCTTGGTTTACAGAAGTGTGTAAAATATATTGTTAATGTGTTTTTTAAATTGCATGATGAAATGATAATGTTTTGACTAAACATCATTAAAAAGGACTTTCCTTATTTATTTTCCATTTTTCCATTTTTCCAATGTGGCTGTTACAAAGCTTAAAATGACATATGCAGCTTGAATCATAATTATTTTTTGCACAGAGCTATCTTACAGAGCTTCCGTTGCTTCATCTAAAACTGGTGATAATGATCTTATTCACCTCCAATTATTGTAGTGATATGTAATTAAGATAATGTATCTAAAATGTTTATTGCAGTGCCTGACATCCAGGAAAAAGTTGTTTACTCTCCAAGAGTTAGAAAATAAAGATGTTAAGTAAACTTTAAAACAAAATAACTTCAACCCCAATGGGTAAGGGACTACTTAAATAGAAAGCTTTAGTCTCAAGTGAAATCAACAACAAATATACAGATGTAGCTCTAGGAGGAGGACATTCTTGTAACATACAACAGTGATGTGTATGCCAGTGCTTTGAAAAATTAAAAGTACTTTCTTAGTTCTAAGCATCTTTAACTATCACAATTTGTACACAACCTTTTACATTTCATTGGTAGATGCTTCTCATGTTGAGGCGTCAAAGTTACAAAAGACAATAAGGCTGCAAGTGGTGTCTAGTACACAGAGGACAAGTGAGTTTCTGCAGAACTTAAAGATACAGAAAAGGGAGAAAGGCTGGTTGTTCCAGAGCTTTATGTATTGAGTAGTTTCATAGCAGAAACAAAGTACGCGGCTGATGAGAAAGTGCACAATTCAGCTGAAGACACTAGAGGGCGGTATTAGTGAGAATTTAGAAGGATGAATGAAGTCCTCCATAACCCCTTCTGGGCACCACCACTATAGATTATGGGAATTTGAAAAGGGCATACCTCCAAAATGCAACTAACACTTCTTCATTCCCTCCAGGATGTGGTTCAAAGGACTTCTTTTTTTTTTTTAAGTCTTGGCATTGACCTTACATTGCCAAAATGCTAAAATATTAGAAATTTGCTATAGTGCTTAGCAAGTAATAGAAAAAATTTGAAATGGTTTCCTGCTCTGAGAAACACTTTATCAAAATCCAAGGAGATCAGGAGGAGACATAAAAACACCTAAGAAAGGGCTTTGAAGAAGAGAACTCGACAGGAATTTGTGACCAATCCAACAACCTCTGCCCTGAAGTAGGGCTGTGGCAATTCTTTGGTAATCAGGCCATATAAGGTCTTCTCTCTCTCTCTCTCTCTCTCTCTCTCTCTCTCTCTCTCTCTTTCTCTCTCTAGGTTTGAACTGTTCATTTGTGCAGTGGTCAGAAAGTGCAACTGAACTTCTCATGTAGGAGTTTGGAAGTTGAGCCTTGTGTGGTGAACTTTGCTAAATCCCTGAGCTCTGATTAATGCAGTTAAATGAGTAAAGGTATGCACTGGACTTTCCAGTTCCTACTGGTGAGTAGTTACAAACTGTCCCTGGT